AGAAGAGGGGACACATGTTGATGTAGAAGAGACATGAAGAAGAGGGGACACATGTTAATGAAGAAGAGACATTAAAAAGTGGATTTTGCACAATGGGTGAAATGTAAAATAAGACATATTTTTACAAGCCACCTAGCAGTATATACATGAATTCAATGAAACACTTAATTGAATTGAATTTCTTTATTGTAATTGTACAGGTATAACAAAATTGTAAAGTCAAGGAAATGTGGCGGAGTAGAAAAAATAGGTAGAAATACATTGAACCTACTCAAAATAGTACTTCAACAATTATATTAAATGAGGCTCTTTGAGTACATTTTACCAGCGATTATGCTACTATTTTATTTATTTAATAATCTAGCATTGGTGCTGGCAGGTGGAGGAGCAGTGATGTTGGCTGGGTGCTGGCAGGTGGAGGAGCAGGGATGTTGGCTGCTGGGTGATGTCCGCTCTCCCTGTCTCTCCTCACTAGCCATGTCCTCTCTTTCTTCACTCTCACTTTCCCTTCTCTCAGTCTCCTCATCCCTTCTTCCCTCATTCTTTGAGACTAATGTAAGTAGAAGACATGGCACTGTTAATTTTCGAAGATTCAAAATATTATACCACTTAAAAATGGCTGAATAGGATAACAAAAGTTGTCGAGGCCGTTTTAAGTCATTACACCGAATACGTAAACACTCCCGCTAAGTTTGTTTGACCTGTTCTGCTTGAAAGCAAGTACCTGCGCTCTTGCAAACTGTTAAAACAAAAGCTTCAACTTGTACAATTTTGAATCTGTATTTTTGAACATGGATCTTAAGTCGGCGTGACGTTGAAGCAGCGACCCTGCTGTAGTTCGTTTATAGCATAACGTTAGCATTTTGCTTCTGGCGACTAGATTTATGATTCGAAATTATAAAAGTAGGGTAGACATGTGGATATTATCCGGCTGAACAAAACGTGATCCGTTTCTTAAATGTGTGTCAACCACAGACCTTATTTCAAGCTATTTTCCAAAATCCGGAAGGAGTTTACTTCCGGGTTTTAGGACGCGTCACTGCGGTTCTCTATAGGTGTGCTATATAGGTGTGTATAACCCTTTCTCCTGTCTGTTTCTCCCTCTTTCAGCACAAGAACCAGAGGGGGATTCAATATGCGCTTTCACACCGGAGTACTTTTATTCGTACTTTCCCCGTTTAGTTCTGATAGTGCCTGTAATTTTGCGTTCACACCAAAAAGAGTACTTGGTTCAGAGAACCTTTACCTCCATTTTCAGTGCCTGCTAGAGAGGTGGGACTATCCTGGGGAGAAAAAAGTACACATTTCTGATTGGCTGGGCGAATTGCAAACCACGCCCCGTAAAACTCTGAAATTTTTTTTGAAGCCGCCGTTGTATTTGCTGGCATTAGCATTATTAGCATTAGCCCCGTGCACCAACGGAGAGAGAATAACTTATGGCAACACAAAAAAAAACCCGGGAGCGGTGGAGTGATGAGCAGGTGTCGGCGTTCTAGCGATTTACTCGGAAGGCTGACACCAACTCCGGGGACTTCTGGCCGGGGACTTCGGGTGGCAGTATACGCCGTGAAGTTGTTTAAGGCCTGCCAGTAAACCCAAAGCCAAAAGTGACGCCAGCGGCTTCATTTGCGTAATCTTCCCCAGGGAACTTATTCCGGTGTGAACGCGATCTGTACTTATTTCCATGGGGGTAGTACTAAGTACTGGGCACTAGGTACGGAAAAGTACTTGGTGTGAAAGCGGCTATAGGAGCACTGAGACCCTCCCCTGCACCTGAGTCTCAGCTCTCAGAGTTTTTCAAGCCTTTCCCTGTTATTTTTATTCAACCAAAAATTAAGCTTCCCAATGGTGTGGTCTTCGTTTTGTGAAAAAGTGCAAATGCAGTGTTTGAATATGATTACCTCACATATTTTTTTGCTGTTGTTCACTGTTATGATGGTTAAATTGCTCCTGCTGACTTGAGCCAGCCATTTTTTCCTCCTCTCTGTGTCAGTGGGGAAGCCGTACATTCTTACTCCTTTTTCGGAGCGATTGGAGCATCCCCAGGCAGCACAGCAAACCATGGTGGAGACTATATGCCAGGACACGGAGGAAAAGGCACAGACAAACTGCATGACATGCTATTCAATGTTTATTGAATTCCATTTATTTATAATGGATTTTCCTAAAACAACACATTTAACATCATCATGTTGCTGCTGCTAGTCCTTTGATAGTCACCTGTCAGTCTCCAGTCCTTTCTGAATGGGACCACCTGGTTAAATAAAGGTTTGAATGAAAAAAGAAGTGAATATTTGTTTTAAAGAATTCAAAGCAATAAACAACAGCAACAGGCTCTTTAACTAAGGCAACGTTAGACTAACATGTATATTTAACAAGGCAGGTACAGCTGTTCACACAAATCCTAATATTATCCCTAAATATTAGCAATTTTTTTTTTTTTTTTTAACATATTGATGTAAATACATACACATATCGGTATGTTGTATAAATATTGCAAATCAAAACCTTTATTGACTATTAATTACCAAAAATCGCAGTTCTATCGCCTGTTATCAAATGGCCCGCCACGAACTTCCAGGAACTATCTGAGTCTCCATGAACAACGTGACGATCAAGCATTTTGGGCTTCTGCTGTCGCAACTCTTTTATCTATACGGCGCTGCATTTTAGACTGAAATCCTCCTAATGCATCTCCATATGTATGGCAAGCCGATTTAGCTTGTATTCATTTCTGGAGGATATCACAAATAAATTCTTACTAGTAAGAACGCGAATTCTTGGCTTGCCATAGTATATGCGCAATTTCCGAACAGTTTTGTCGCTCTTGAAGGCACCGNTGCGAATTCCTGGTTTTCCATACATATGCGCAATTTCCGAGCAGCTTTGACGCTCTTGAAGGCACCGCCGCAAGGAACCCTGGGAATTACAAGATGGCGGGATATCCAAAAACACTGCTGAGTGTCTGAATTCTTCACAACGAACAAGATAAACTGTCAATAATAACACATTTCACAACGTAAAAACAGCAAACCGTCGGTATTCTAACCGTTAACGGCCGCTCACAATGAACCGGGGGAGGGTCGAAGCTCCGTCCGGTCCGCCGGTGAAAACTAACCGACTGAGGAGGAGTTTTAGGCAGACTCAAAACACACAGACCGCGGAGGAGGAAGACTCTCCAATCAGAACAAAGTCGGGTCAGTATTTATTCATTTAAGTATCTTCATGTTAGGTTTCTGTTTGTAAAATACTGAATGTACTCTTCCAATATCAGAGTAGCATGATAACAAAGGTATCCCAACTGCAGCTGTGCACATAACAGGATGTGTGATTACCTAGAAGAGCATCAGGAATGTTGTAGGCATATGATAGCTATGTGATTAACATGATGATGCAGCCTCTATGGAGATAGACATATGACAAGCATGATCATTTCTGACGTGGAGCTAATCTGAAGTAAACATTGAATACTGCTTTACGTCCCTCCATCTTGTGACTGTGTAACTCCCTCTCTTGGATACAAGCATGTGAAGGACACTGTTCAGGAACTAGTTGATGCTCTGTATGTGATGACTACTACCATTCTTGAGAGCATAATAAATACACGGATCCTGAGATTGAAGCTCAAGCCAGAGACCAGTGATATTTAACAGTTTATGAAGTTATTACCTGCCTCTTGTGTCTGCTATGACATAAACATCCAATCCAAGCCCCCAGGAAACCTCCGGCCGATGAAGCCCATATTTGGTGTGCCGAGAAGAGATTGAAGATTCAAGGCTTTAATTGTCATGTGTGCATAGCTACAGTGTAGCTATGACAATGAAAATCTTAGGTCACAGGCTCCTCAAACAGTGCAACACAATAAAACAGATACGATAGTGCAAGTAAATAAATAAAATAGAATATAGTAGAAATAGTGCAGAATAAGTCATTGGGATATTGATAAGTTGCAACAGATGGATGTTCTTTGAATGAGTCTGTAATGAGTAATGTTGTAATAATAATAATACATTGGATTTTTCTAGCGCTTTTCCTAATGCTCAAAGAAGCTTTACATAAAATCAGAAACGGAAACAGTACAAAGAAAACAAAAAAATAAACAGTAGTCCTAATCAAGTGCGAGTAAAGTGGGGGCAATACTTTTAAATTAGTGAAGTTAAGCGAAAATAAAATGCTGCTTTTTGGGTTTCATGTGGGTTAATTTACCTGAAGATCATACAAATCCATGGGAAGGCTTTTGTGTAGACATGTTAACAAAACTATATTTAACTTTCTGACTTTTTAAAAGTAAGAACAAAACATGGAAAGCTAGAATCAGTTGGAGCTTATTTCTGTCTTTAGAAAAACTGCACATCTGTGTAATGATACATTAAAAAAAAGATTATCTATCAGTATATCTGAATTAACTATAGGAAGACATTCAAACCTTGACCTCTGACTTCCTGCAGAGTGCAAAAGAAATAGACAATAGAGAGTTAACTGAAGTTTAATAAGCTGGACATCACTGGTCATCGTTTCTGAATCTGCTTCTGAATCTCAATCAGCTCGTTTCTGTTTCTTCTCAGAATTTAAGTCCCCGACCCGGATCCCGAGGTCCAGGACGGGTGTTTTCAGTGCAGAGTCTCCGCACAACGACTCTGACTTCCAGCAGGACATCATCTGGGACCCCACCTCTCCTTTACCTAACAGATTCGGTAAACACCTGTCTTTGCAAAGTGTTATTGAGAACGTTTGATCAAGTTAATCATTTCAGTAACTGCTGCAGTGACAAGTCAATTCAACTATGAGCTGCTCAACAGAACATTAATCCACAACAAGATATTAATTCTGACTTATTGCTGAATTCCTTTTTTAGTAGTGTAAACTGTTCCTTTTTTGTATTTTATTTGTTACTTTTGGTTAAAAAAATATAGATTTTGAGCTTTTTGGTTTGTTTTATTCCAGGTAAAAAAGCAGCGAGGAAGCAGCCTGTTCCAGTTGTGAACATCTCAGACATCGTAAACAGGATCGCTCCAAAGGTCAGAAACAACCTTTTTTTATGAAGTTATTTTATTGTTTTTATTTGTGTGTCTTAATTACTGCATGTATTAATATTCATGCTGTATTGTTTCCTGTGTCTCTGAAGCATGGCAGACCGAAGGTGGCAGAGCCCACGCTGCAGCAGTGGATCGGAGACACCATCCCCTGCACCCCCGACGTTCAGGTCCCCAAACACAAGAGGAAATCCCTGAGGTGGGTTCAGAAGAAGCAACAAACACACATCTGTTCGTTCTAGATTGTAACTGAGCTTCATCATAATCGGCTCGTTCGAAATGTATAAGTTTAATTAACGCACAATAGGATTTTAAAGTTGTGAAATATTGTTCAATCACCGTTTATATAACTAGTGCACAAGCACAAATTGTATCTGCAACTATAAATCTTTTGCTCATGATCACGTGATTGAGTTTCCACAACAAAAGGTTTTTACAAACACAAATGAATATACAACTACAGGCTTTGAAATTGTTCCTAAAAAACATTTTTCCAAGTTCAAAATATGTTGTTGTCATTTTCTCAAAAGTAAGATTCAGTGACCTATGCAGGATGTGATTTTTCCAGCATCTCATATCACTTTAACCTGAGTTTGCTTCTAGTAATAGTTCCTTTTAGCTCATATAAATACTAATAATAACAATGCACTAAGCCATTTGTCAATACAACAGAGTACACTAATGAAACGCTAGGCAGATCTAATTAAACAAACTGTATCCAATACATATGACGTATACTTCTCCAAGGTCACAACAGGGGAACATGCTGCCAAAGGACCAACAGAAAATAGATGTACACATTTAGAAAATGGGAGGCTGTGGCTCAGTGGATAGTGTGCTGGACTTGGAATCAGGGGATAGCAAGTTCGAGTCCCACTGCAGTCAGCATGTCGTTGTGTCCCTGGGCAAGACACTTCACTCCAAATTGCTCCTGTGGGGATTGTCCACAGTACTGAATGTGTGTAAGTTGCTTTGGATACAAGCATCTAACAAATGACATGTAATGTAATAATGTAAAAAAGGAAAAATATCGAAACGTCTACCAGAAATATATTTTATAAGTAAAAAATAATAATTACAAAAATTCAACATATGAATGCTTAATTAACGCATATTGTGGAAGCAAAATAAACAAAGCAAACAAATTAGTAAAAGGACAGTTTTTACAGCCTCTTCAAAATAGGAAATGGCACCTTATTAAAAAAAAAAAGGCAATTGGTTTCCTTCTGTCAGATTTTCATGTATGGACGTTGCATTTGCCTGAAAGCAAAAATAATAATTAGGAGTACGTTTTGTTTTCAAACCCCAAAGAATAAACTAATTGTTCAGGTTTTTCCCGACAGGCTGAACGCGGTGGACGACCTGCTGAAGCTCGCCAAGCAGTTTGACTTCAACATGTTTCATCAGGAAGAAGACAAGAAAGAAGAGCTGAAGGAGCTTCATCAGCAGAGCCTGGAGCTCCTGCCAGACGACATCTTGGATCAGAACGACTTCTCCGCTTCTCTTCCTGGAAACCAGCCCCCAGCTGTGAGAGCAGGTCCGGACGTTCAGCTGCACCTGATGGACCAACACATGGAGGACGATTTGGACTTCCTGTTCGACGGACCGACCCAACATCTAAGCGGAAACTTAAGTCAGGTGTTGTCAGCTCAGCCGTCACAAGCGAAACCAGCAGCCAAAGAGGCTTCTGGGAAAACGTCTGCTTCCTCACACACTCCCACTCCCGTTGTTCCCACGTCCAACACTAAGGACGACTTTGACGACGATTGGGAAAACGACGACTTGCTCAATGACTCTTTAATGTTGGAGATGACGCAGAACCCTCATAAATTCATCTCCCCAAAGCACGCTTCAACCCAGAACCAAACCAGTCAAGGCACATTTCCAAGAGAAAGTCAAAGAAATGTGGTTCAATCGGCTGTTTCTGAAGTGGAGAAGGGCAACGTGAGGCAAAGAGCGAGTTTCAAACTGGAGCCTAATCCTAATTTCCCTGTCAAACTAACCCAGACGGACACATGGGCAAATTCTAATGTGGATTCCAGCTCCAAAAAAGCAAATAAAGACACGTTTTCATCCGGAAACAGTGTTTTAAAAGTGCCAGGTTCTCAGTATACCTGGCAAACATCAAACACGGTGAAATCACAACCACTGAAACCCCAATTCAATCAAAAGTCTACTTCTTCTTCCACTGCATCAAAAATACAAACGTCAAACACAATGAAGTCAGATCCACCAAGACAACAGTTGAATCCAAATAATTCTGTTTCTAAATACGACTCGACTTCTTCTACAAACACTTCAAAAACAGCTGCTCAAAGTTTTCCAATAAAACCCGCAGTAGTTCCAACGCCCGCTGTCTCTGAACACCAAGAGGAGGACCTGTCGATTTTCTTCGAGTCCGACCCGGTTTGGGACGACCTCGCTGACGACGACCTGCTGTGTGAAATGTGCGAAGACATGGAGAACCAGATCCAAAACGTGCCAAAAGTTTCAACAAAACGCTCTCTTCCCGTAGGTCCAGTGGCCAACCAGAGAGCGTCGCTGCAGCCGTACAATCAGCAGACTTTCATGCCTAAAAAACCAACTCCTTCAAATGTTTCCTTTGCCTCGGGAAGAGCAGCTGGCAGTTCATTGGCTGCTGGGTTCGTCTCTCACGTCGGTGCACAGATGACAAATTCTTTCAGATCCACACAAGTGAAGAAGTCGTCTGGATCCACGAACAGCTCCATGCAGTCAGGAGGAAACCACAGAGAGAAGTTCACCTTCAAGAAGCCCAACAACCCGGTTTCTACTGTGACAAGTAATTGTTCTCTAAAATCCTCTTCTTCATGTCTCTTCTACATCAACATGTGTCCCCTCTTCTTCATGTCTCTTCTACGTCAACATGTGTCCCCTCTTCTTCATGTCTCTTCTACATCAACATGTGTCCCCTCTTCTTCATGTCTCTTCTACATCAACATGTGTCCCCTCTTCTTCATGTCTCTTCTACATCAACATGTGTCCCCTCTTCTTCATGTCTCTTCTACATCAACATGTGTCCCCTCTTCTTCATGTCTCTTCTACACAGGGTTCCCGCGGGGTCTTAAAAAGTCTTAAAAAGTCGTACATTTGATAATCTGAATTTAAGGCCTTAAAAAGGTCTTAAATATGACCAAAAAAATAAGAAAGGTCTTAAATATGATTTAGAAGGTCTTAAAAATGATGGGATTTGAAAGGTACTTCTGTGTTGCGATCGCGTCTAAAATGTGTTTTGGGGGAAATGTCCGGGCTGCAAAGTAACCAGTACGGTAAGAGCCTTTCAGTTCCCCCCAACAATTTGTATTGAAATAAATCAACAAGGAACCAGTAATCACTAACTTTTTTTCCCCCGGCCCCTTATTGGAGAACACCCAGCTAGCAACCAAGCTTCAGCTTGCGGCAGTCAGAAACTGATGTATCTTTTAATCTACTTGCAAATTAATATGGGGAAGTGTCAGTTCAACCGTATTTGGTTGGAAAACATCTAATTTAGTGCTTGGTTGAAACCAGTGGAGGGGAACGTGTTTGATGCCCGCTGCACCTTTTGCAAAAGAAATCAGCGTTTGTTTAGCTAATGTAGCGTTAGCTAGTGGAGCGTTAGCTAGTGCAGCAGCTCCCGCAGCAACACCGGGGGACCTCCGGGCGACGTTTGGGTCTACGTCAACCCTAAAAGCGGAGGTGCTGTAGACGCTTAATACCGTAGCTAAACACCAATCATACAACAGCATAGCTCTTGTTACTCTCTCTCTCACACACACACACACACACACACACACTAGGGCTGCTCGATTATAGCAAAATCATAATCACGATTATTTTTGTCAATAATTGATATCACGATTATTAAATAAGATTATTCATTGACTTTGAAAACATCCATTTATTGAACTTTAAAACAAATAATAAGTTGAACATTATCTTTTTAACTGTTGATTACCCTGAACATATAATTCAACTAGAAAAAGTAATAACAAAAATTAAATAAAATCTTTCTCTGTACCGTCTTCTCCCCCTGTGTACAATCTACATCTTCTCTGGTACCTCTTTCCTCCCGCGTGTACAACCTTACATCTGTCCGGGCAAGGCGTCCAAAAGCGGCTTGAGTTGTAAATTCTTGACAAAATCCTGAAAAAAATCTCTTGGGTGGAAACTTATCATTAAATTCTGGGATACAGGCCGTTCTTTCCCATAACCTTCGCCTTTAACGATACGTTCTTCTTTATGCAGGGTATTAATGAATTGTTGCATTTACATAAGTACAAGTTGGTATTCTTGTTACTGACTTTACTTATCGTATTGCTCATTTCTTGACGACCAATCGGTTTTTGCACGACATACAGAGACCGACAGAGACACAACGAACCTGCGACACGATAACAAGCCGCGAAACGTTACCATTACGGATAACAATTAGCGTTGATGCTAAAACCGGGACGGTGTTAAATGTTTTTGTTGTATTGCGTTTTTTGTTAATTAAAATCGAACGAAATCCAAACACTGTCACCTGTTTTATACAATTAGCAATTAATCATAACCTCAGATTAAATGAATAAGATAAATACGTTAAATATATACAAATCGGACCGAACAACCTGTCACGCGAGGTTTTATAAACAACTAGACCAAAAGCAACACTAGAACAATAAGCCATAAATAATGAAACTATAATAAATAAATTTATATAGTAAATAAATTAAAAACATAATGAAAAAAGTCAAACTTAATATCAACAAAGTCCCATTAGTTGTCCCCCAATTATTTCTAATTACAAGTTGAATAACAAGCGAAAAACTTTCAAGTGTATTTAGCCT